GCCTTCCCAAAAATGAAATCAGTTCTTCATCTTGTCAATGCAAGTAAAAATGTTTTTTGAATTATTAAAAATCGGACGTTCCGTTCAAAAACTGAATTACCGTATTTGACACTTTTTGCCCCGTATCTCTGGAACGGCTAGACCTGCTTTCGCCAAAAACTAATCAGCACGTCTCCTCATCTAATGTTTTTTTTTAATTATTCAAATCGGTTGATCGGTGTTCTCGAAATCGTCGACGAAAATTTGTATCCGCACACATACACACACACACATACACACCCATACGTCCATTTTTTCTAATGTATGCCAAAATGTTCAGAAACCTTTGAAACGTAAAGATATATAACAATTTTTATTTTCGATTTTTTTTGCTTTTACTATAACTTACCCTACTAGAAGTTAATAATTGAAAACTACAAAATTAAAATGCATTTAATGTGGGGGAAAACGTAAAGTAAAAGTATATTTAGCAAATCATATTATATTATAAGTTTTTTTCGTATTTCAATTATACACAAACTTCTTTTTTTAATTTTTATTTTTAGTTTAAATAATCATTAACGCTTTTCATCAAATGTTTTAATAATTTAAATATCCAAAATTTAAACTAACTGGTGATGTAATTTTAAAGGTATGCCAAAATTTCAAGAAACCTCTGAAACGTGAAGATATGCAAAAAAAAAATATTTCGATTTTTTTGACGATTGCTATAACTTACCCTATATATATAAAGAAGTTAATTATAATACTTAAATCATTACTTTTCGCTATCTTAGCTTGTAGAGTCGGAGTCTGAGTCCCTCTGCCGAAAAACATTATAACTTTGTAACTCCCGATATACATTGCGCTTACATTACATTTAGCTAACATTTGTTATATAACTTTGTAACTTCAAAATACATTGCGCGTACACTTGTTATATAACTTTGTAACATTAAAAGTTACATTGCGGCAACAAGTAGTATTTACTAGGTAATATATTTATAGAATGATAATTTTTAGCTATTTGTAATAAAGCTATACGACAATTGTTAATATTCTTTATTTATGTAATAATTTTGGTTCGTAACATGAAAAGTTTCAGCAATTTGTCATAATAAATTTATTACACATAATATCGACAAACGCTAGTTTATGTGTATATCCGATTCTTAATTTTTGTTTATTACGGATATTATTTTCATGTAAATATTATCCTTTGCACTTTTATTTATTTAAATTTATGTTATCATTTATCAATATTACTAGATGTTAATAATTTAACAGTTGTATTAATTATTGAAATTAAAAAAAAAATTGTTTCTCAATTATATCTTGAAATTTTAAATTAATTATTCTTACCATTATCAATTATTCTGATAATTATATATTCTATATTTCTATAATTAATTAATTATTAATTTTAAATTAATTGGTCAGAGGATGCGGATTATAAATTTTGATTGAGCTACAATTGATTGACTGTTCTAGTAAAAATCAATATTTTTTTCTTTAAATATTAAGTTTTTAATGATAAAATTTCTTATGCTATAAAAGACATTGATTGGGTTGTTAATGTGATTTTGAAGTACTTCGCGAACATCATATTTAAATGTAAAGGTTTCAGTAATAACTGCGCGTTCTATATATAAAGTTTTGACCAAGAATATAAAGAAATAAAATTTAGGTGTCAGGTTTACAATTGTAAATACAATTACAATTTTTAAGTTAAAATTAATACAATTTATTTGTTCTAAGTTGTTATAAAATATACGTATTTATATATGATAAATATAGTGTGATTTTTGTATATTTGTTTCAATAATACTTTTTCTTTTGCAGATCACAATGCCTGTTTGTATATATATATTTTTTAGTGATCGATAGCACGTTATCATTATATGTAAGTACAACTTTTTTTACAATTTGTATTATGTGTGAACAACTATCTATATAAATATATGGAGATATATATATATATATATTATATATTATATATATATATATTATATATATATATATATATATGTTGCAAACATATACTTCAATAATACATTTATGAATAACCTCCATTATGGTAGAATATAAATGGTACTTTTCTTCGAATAGTATCAATAAATTTTTTGCATTTATTTCATGAGAATTTATAAGTATCATCTTGAACATTAATTAAAGCGAAAATGTTGATATTATTTATGAAGATAATAATTTATTGCATTCTACACTTTATAGATATAAATACATTCTACACAGTTCAGTATAATGTATTCGTTCATCGTTTAGTTTTTCTATGGACCACATTATTCTTGATAATAGCAATTATGAATTAACTGCAAGGTTCAATTGGTATAATATATAATAATCATCCCTGTAAACAATTTTATATTGCCGTTAGGTTGCGGTTATATAAAAATGTTACCTAGTTATATAACGTCAACCTCACCGTCCCTAAGGAATTTTATTACCTGGAGATAACTATTTCCTACCTTGTTAGTTAACTTGTTATATAACATTGTTAGGTTGCGGTAATATACGGTAATGTACATATGCGATATTTGCAATGCTTTTAATTTATGCGTAAATAATTGATTTTTCTCTAAAAAAAAGATTTACTCATATTTCATTGTATTTATTATTTAAAATTAATATTTTACAATAAACAAAGTAGCAACAAATATTTTATACTAAATAGAACAGTAACAAATATTTCATAGTAAACAAAATAGCAACAAATATTTTATAACAAATAGCAACAAATAATTTGTACTAAACAAAACAGTAACAAATATTTTATAACAAACAAATAGCAACAAATATTTTGAACTAAACGAAACAGTAATAAGTATTTTATAACAAATAAATAACAGCAAATATTTGTTGCTATTGTTTATTATAAACTATTTTGTACTAAACAAAACAGTAACAAATATTTTATAACAAACAAATAGCAACAAATATTTTGAACTGTAGAAAACAGTAATATATTGCTGTTTTGTTTAGTTCAAAATATTTCTTGCTATTTGTTTGTTATAAAATATTTGTTACTGTTTTGTTTAGTACAAAATATTTGTTACTGTTGTGTTCAGTTCAAAATATTTGTTGCTATTTGTTTGTTATGAAATACTTAAGTATTTGTTTGTTTGTTATATATTTGTTAAAATACTTATAAGTATTTTATAAGAAACAAATAGCAACAAATATTTTGAACTATAGAAAACAGTATCAAGTATTTTATAACAAATAGCAACAAATATGTTGTACTAAACTACTAGCACCAAATATTTATAAGTATTTTTAACAAATATATAACAAACAAACAAATACTTATTAGTATTTTATAACAAACAAATAGCAACAAATATTTTGAACTGAACAAAACAGTAATAAATATTTTATGACAAACAATTAGCAACACATATTTTATACTAAACAGAACAGTAACAAATATTTTATAACAAACAAAAAGCAACAAATATTTTGAACTAAACAATACGTACAGTAATAAGTATTTTATAACAAATAGCAACAAATATTTTGAACTAAACAATACAGTAATAAGTATTTTATAACAAACAAATAGCAACAAATATTTTATACTAAACAGAACAGTAACAAGTATTTTATAAGAAACAAAATAGCAACAAATATTTTATACTAAAGAGAATAGTAACAAATATTTCATTAAAAAGAATAACAACATTATAATAAAGAAAATAGCAACAAATATTTTATACTATATAAAACAGCAACAAATTTTATAAAGCAATAATAAACTTCATAACAAGACAGTAATAAAAAAACAATATAATAAACAATACAGCAACAAATATTTTAGACGATACATAAAATTTATATCAATTACATTTATTTTTTGTTATTTACACAATGAAAAACAAAATAGTAATCTATTAAACAAAAAAAAAATAACATAATAAACTAGAATATTTTAAATGTTAAAAATAACAATATTAAATATGTTATAATAAACAGTAACAAATATTTTTCGAAAACAATAACAAAAATATAAAATTTATATTCATTACAATTATTAATTTCATATTTTCAAATGAAACACAAATTGAATATAAAACTATTTTTAAATGATATTAATTAATAATAAAGGATGGAAATAAAAATATCTAGTTTTGGTCTAACTATTAACCTAGCTATCTCGACACACCAATATACAGAAACTTTATTACATAATTCCAAATTAGGATGACAATTTTCAAATACAATTATATTTTTTTGCAAAGAAACAATACAACTATTAGAATTATAGTTGAGCATTATTAAGCTTTGATTTTTTCTTATCGAGATACTTCCAACATCTTCATTTTCAATATTCACAATTTGTCTTAATTCCATCGTAGCCCATATGTACTATTCCACCTTAAAAACAAATGAGAAAGGTTAAAACAGAATTTATAATAGTAATTAGTTAGCAAGAACTATGCCATATACCTTTCATTTATTCCTTGTTTTGCTGTTAAAACCCTCTTGATATTCTTTCATATTAATCACATATGTTATTCGAGGCAATTTAGGATTTAAACCGAGACTTAGAATCCAATCCTAAAAAGAAATTATTACAATAATAAAATATAAACCTCAAAAGCCATTAAAAATTTAAACAGTTATTTACCTTTAGTATCTTGTAGCATTGTCGAAAACTAAATTTTCATATCCAAATAATAAGCTCTAGTTTTTTTTTGAGACATCTCCAAACGCGGGCCTTATAAAAATAATTAGGCTTTCAGCACAGTAACCAACAAATAAATTATACTTACCCTTCATAATATTATATATCAAACAGCACTTCATAGAATTGATTTTGAGGTTATTTCTTATACTCTTTCGATTTCAATGTAGCTGAACAAATTACACATAAGCAAATATGTAAGGTTTACGCCATATGTATGCTATATATTTTTGCATTTTTATTTATACACTTAGCACTCAATATTACAAAATATTTAAAATAAAACAAGACAAAACAACCCAACAAAACATCCCCACATATGACAGAGTATAAAATCAAAATGGCGTACAGCGTACAGGCTACAGGGCGCAATGCACTCTGGGAAACCTGACTCCTGATTATGAGTCCCTCTGCCGAAAAAAGAAGACAACCGTTAAACGTTTAAAACGTTTAATCAAATTCAAAAATTTTAATATACTTTTTTGTTATTTTTGTTTGATATTTATAATTTCACGTGTAAATAATATTAGCATTTATTTGAGTTTTCGATTAATTTTATATTTTTCACTTAATATTCCATAATAAAGTCCTCCGTAACACCTGTAAATTTTTATTTTGATATTACTTATAAATATATATCTTTTCTTCCGTATTATTGTTGTTATTAATACAAAATTATAATGTTTCAGAAATCACTTAATATTTATATGATCGTAAGTTTTATAAGTAGTATCAAAATAAAAATTTACAGGTGTTACGGAGGACTTTATTATGGAATATTAAACGAAAAATATAAAATTAATCGAAAACTCAAATAAATGTTAATATTATTTACACGTGAAATTATAAATATCAAAGAAAAACTAGTGGGGTGGGTGGCATCGTGCCTTAAGGCAAATTGCTGGAACTTCCCGTACCGTAACGAAATGTTCGAGGAATACTGAATGTTTTCAAATAGATTATTATAAATATTGTAACATTGTCTAATATTTATAAGAATTATATAAACTGAATTGCAAAGTTGAAATTATTTGTATCAACAAAAAACTAAAAAAAAAAAAAAAAAAAAAAAAAAAAAAAAATGGAACAAAAATTTTTTTCCAAAATCAATTATTTTGTTAAGACAAGCACAAAGTTTTTTGAATCATTCAAATCGGACGCTTAGTTCTCTCAAAAACTGCCATTTTTTACATATTTAGCTCCGTATCTTCGAAATGGCTGGGCCTGCCTTTGCCAAAAACTAATAAACACTTCTCCCAATCATTACTAATTGAATGTTTTTTAGATCATTCAAATCGGATACTCCGTTCACTCAAAAATTCGATTTCTATTTTCCGCACTCTTTGCTCCGTATCTCCGAAACGGCTGGACCTGCCTTTGCCAAAAACTAATCAGCTCTTTTCCCTATCAATAGGAATCGAATGTTTTTTGAACCATTCAAATCGGTTGATCCGTGCGCCCTAAAACGTGACTGGAAGTTTGTATCCACACATACATACACACACACACACATACACACACACACACACACACACACACATCCATTTTTTCTGAGGTATGCCAAAATGTTCAGAAACCTTCAAAACGTCGAGAAATGTAAAAATTTTCAATTCCGATTTTCGGCCCATTACAATAACTTACCCTACGGGAAGTTAATAATAAAAAAATATTATATCTGAATTGAGAATTGAACCCCGGAGCAAAAATTAGAATTCCACGACGATAACCACTCGGCCAATCTGCTGTTAATAACGAATAGCTTGCAAGGTATGCAATACGCGCGCTGCTAAAATGCAAACTTTAATTAATTTTTATATTTAAACCGCTTTTCACAGGCCTCTAATATTTTACCACGGTCAGTTTGGGCATCAAATCTAGCATTGTGCCAAGTTTCATCAAAATCCGAGACGGGCAATGCGTGGATTCTCCTTATAAGTTTTTAAATTTTTTGAAAAAAATAGTTTGTTTTAAGTAAGTAATTGAAGAAGTTGAAATTCTATTTTTTGGAAAACTTAGAAATGTAATTTTTTTTATTTAAAACTTTGAAATTTTTACTATAACGTCCCGTAGTAAGTTATAGTAGTCGCAAAAAAATCGAGAATGAAAATTTTGTCGACGTTTCGGGAACAACATTCGATTCGTATTGATAAGGAGGCGTGCTGATGCAGCCGTTCCGAAGATACGGGGCAAAAAGTGCCCAGGTAACCCAGTTTTTAAGAGAACGAAGGGTCCGAATTTAATAATTCAAGAACCATTCTATGGGTTCCGTAACATCGTTTGTTTGTTTAACAGCAACGCGGCGCTTACGCGCTTCGATATTTCATCTCATAAAAAACATTTTTCTTCTAAAGTTTTTTTTTTCAAAAAATTCAATTTTTTTCTAAAATGTAAAATTGTTTAAAAAATCTAATTTTTTCAAAGTTGAAAAAAAAATTTTTTTTGAAAAAAAATTAATTTTTGGTACGTGAAGTTCCAGTAATTTGCCTTAACGCACGATGCCATACACCACTAGTTAAATCAATCTAATCGGTTGATATAAAAAATATATATATCCGGAATTTAAAAATTAGATAAATCGGTTTTTCATTAAAATATAAAGTTGTGGAAAATATTTTCTAACAAAACATTGCACATTTATAACATTAGGTAACAAATGTATATAACTTTGTAACTCCCGATATACATTGCGCTTACATTACACTTAGTTAACATTTGTTATATAACTTTGTAATTTCAAAATACATTGCGCGTACATTACATTTAGTTAACATTTGTTATATAACTTTGTAACTTCAAAATACATTGCGGGTACATTACATTTAGTTAACACTTGTTATATAACTTTGTAACATAAAAAGTTATATTGCGGCAACAAGTAGTGTTTACTGGGTATATATATATATATATATATATATATATATATATATGTATATATATATAATACTTTTGATTAAATAAAAACAATGGTTAGGTAATTCAAAATTTAATTAATCTAACAGCAGTTTCGAGTCTTTATTTGAGTCTTTACTTTTGATTTTTGTTTTATTTTTTAATCAATTCTTGAATGCATCAATAAAATTGTTTTGAATATCATTTTAATGAAGTCCTCGACGAGGCACAAGAGGATGGCTTACCTGCCTGATAGCTTTGTACTGCCTGGTGGTGATGGGCGGAGACCTGACCTGTGGGGGGAATGGGGCCCACCTTCAGCGTGTTCTCGAACTTGTGGCGGAGGTGTCGCGTATCAATCACGACAATGCACACATATAGCGTAAGTTAATAAACGTTATTAATAGCAAAAATAATTTACCAAATCCTCAAAAAAAGAAAATGGAATATTAATAACATTAAACAAATAACGTTGAGTGCTGCACATATATATGCAATATTTTTTTTTCAGACCTGATGGAACGCCATACTGCGACGGCGGAGACAAAAAATACTTTTCATGTAATACTGAGGTATTTTTAATTATTTAATACATTTTATTTTCTGAAATGGCTACGTATTTTATGTACGTATATATACCTCTCTCTCTATATATAAATAATTATTTGAGCAATTTATAACAAAGACGAAAGATATTGACCAACAATTCCATTTGCTAAATTCCACCGGTCTTTTTGCATTAAAATACTCATTTTGCTTACTTTTAAAAAATGTTAGTTGTAAATTAGCAATTATCATGGTTATATGTATATATCCACATTATATTATAAATATATTTTGGGACCAATATCTTCTGCTCTTCTTTCTAAAAAAAATATTTGGGATCAATATATCAGTACCGTCAAAGTTAACACTCCTTATATAAATGCTTACTATTGTTCTATATTATAAAGATGTGGTTTATTATTCAATTAGCAACAGATACTAGAAACGTAGAACTTTACAAAATTGAACCGATTAACGCTTTACTATATATTATTACTTATCAAATCTATCTGGGTGTCTGGCTGGGATTGTTTATTTTTCTAACAACCTAATAACTGATTTTTTATACTGTTTACAGGAATGCCCCGACGGTTCCATTGATTTCAGAGCAGAACAATGTTCAAAATTCGACGAAGTTCCTTTTGAGGGTGTGAGATATGAGTTAGTACGAATTTTCAAATTTCTTATATACTATTATATAAATATATATATATATATATATATATATATATATATATATATATTTATTACTGTTGAATGCCTCGCATTTTGATTACTGATTGATGGTCAGACGATGCCGACGGGTTATTATATTATATCATATATTTTATATGGGCAATCAATATATTTCTATCGATATTTGCAGAGTTAGATCATATTTTCAATCATATGTATATATGTATGTACTATTTCATTAGATACATAACTTACTAATTGCAGATGGGTGCCCTATACAAAAGCTCCGAATGCCTGTGAGTTGAACTGCATGCCTCGTGGAGATAGATTTTACTTTCGACATAAGCTCAAAGTTATTGATGGCACAAGATGTGATGATGAAAAGCCTGATGTTTGTGTAAACGGTATTTGCCAGGTAACATACGTCCTGATGCTGTTGTAGATATTCGAATATTTTTCAGTTTCGTAGCTTAAATTAATAAATAATAATTAATAAATTATTTAAATTATTAATGTGTAGCTTAATTTCGATTTAATGTAGAGGAATAAGGTCAAATACTTAATATTTTTTGTGGTATTTCTAAAATTATCGAATGCACACAACAAATGAAATTTTTGGTAAAATATGCATGCAATTATATATTTGTGTAATCTTTTCATATTTTTAGCCAGTAGGATGCGATATGATGATAGGATCATCAGCACGAGAAGATAAATGCCGAATATGCAGAGGCGATGGTTCCACTTGCAGCACACTGGAGGGCACTCTGGAAGAACGAGACAGGCCAATGGGTATAAATAAATAAATAAATATATATATATATATATATATATATCATATGGGATTCATAGTTTTATCAATCTTGTTAACCACACTTGATGGAATTTTTAGGCTATAATGATTTGTTATTAATTCCTGCGGGCGCCACAAACATAGAAGTAAAAGAATTAGCACCTTCTAATAATTATTTGGGTAAGTACTATCAATCACTTGTACTATTATATCAGTATCATTAAAAAATATTATGTATTATTAAATGGTATAGCCAAATTTATGATAAATTTATCTATCCAGCTGTACGTAACAGCACAGCACATTATTACTTAAATGGAAATTGGCGCATACAGTTTCCTAGAGTTTTAACATTCGCGGGCTGCCACTGGCATTACGAACGCTGGCCCCAGGGTTTTGCTGCTCCCGATACGCTTCGTTGTCTGGGCCCTATTAATGAACCACTGTATATTGTTGTAAGTATATATAAAATATATATCTGAGCATGTGTGTTGTTTGACAAAACCATTTTTAATTGTATGTTATTACAAATGTTTTACACATAGCTCTTGACCCAAGACCGTAACGTGGGTGTGAGGTACGAGTACTCAGTCCCAAACAGTTTGGCAAAACCAAATCACCCGGATGTTTATACGTGGACGTACGATGATTTTTCACCTTGCTCAGTAAGCTGTGGTGGCGGGCTGCAGACTCGACGTGTGACTTGCTCAAATCGACTTGACTTACAAATTGTTTCTGATGAGCTGTGTGATTCCAATCAGAGACCACAGGAACAACAAGTAGGTCATAATAATTTTAATACATTATATTTATTTATTTATATGCATATGTATATACGCTCTATTAATGACTATTTTTCAATCCATTCTCTAATATGGACTTTTTTTAGGTATGTTCTACTGAGCCATGTCCTGCTCACTGGGTCCCTGGCGCGTGGTCGCAGTGTTCTACTCCTTGCGGGCAATCTGGTGTTCGGGAAAGACAAGTCTTCTGTCAGAGAGTTGTTGCTAATGGGTAACATAATTTAAATGCCTAATCAAGAACTGCCTTAACAGCTATTTTACAATACAAGTTAATACCAATATCAACATCAAAATTACTATCATATATAAATATATAAATATAAATATATAAATATAAATATATATATATATATATATATATATATATATGTAATACCGTGATATGTACCATATACTTAGTTTTATTAGAATTTTTGATTATAAGCAATAATTGTTTTACAGAATAACGTCGCTTGTAGATGACAGTCAATGCTTAGACTCAGGAGAAAATAAACCGCCACAAACTGAGGCTTGCAATCAAGACGAAATTTGTCCTGAATGGCATGTGGGACCTTGGTCACCGGTAAATTTCAAATTATAGTTTTTGCACATATAATTTCATAGTAGCTTTTATGAAAATTGACCTAATTCATTAAAATCGATTACCTTCTATATTTCTAATTATTTATTATATTTTTCAGTGTGATCGACTGTGCGGTCCTGGCGCTAAACGACGCGACGTCAAATGCTTCCGTAGGGATGACCATGGACGAATTATAGTATTACAAGACTCGGACTGTCCAGAACCAAGACCGGAATCTGCTCAACATTGTACTTTAAGACCGTGCGAGGGTGTTGATTGGATTACATCTGCTTGGAGTGGAGTAAGAACATACAATATAAACCAGTTTTAAATGTCAATTCCGTAACATCCGTTTATTTTGAATAAATTCATTTTATTATTATTATTATTATTTACTGTACTTTTATTACTTTCAAGTATTTTTTGTTTATAATAACATTATTTCCATATTATGGCGAAATTCTTTTTTTTTGAAAAGTATATCCAGAATATTTTGTTCTAGTCAAATGATTTAGAATGACTATGTATCGTTGAGAAAACAAAGTTAACAAATAGCATGTAGGGGCAAAAATATAAACTTATACTTCACCTAAATAATTATTTCATTACGATTTCAACCTTTCTCTGCATATAACTTCATGCTAATATTTATTTTTACAATTGCTAATTTAATTATAATGAAACTTAATTTTTTTATACAATTGTCAACATTCTTCAATCACTGTTTTGGTTTCGGTATTGAGAAAATAGAACTAATTATACTTCTGCCACAAAGTCTTCTAATATTACAACTATGATCAATGACGTACTATGCCAAATATACACATTCTCAATATCTTAGTGTTCGGCTTGTGGTTCTGCTCAAGAGACTCGTGCTGCTTATTGCGCTAGTGCAGCAGGTGATATTTATCCAGATGAAATGTGTCATGGGCACAGTAAACCAGAAACTGTTCGTTCATGCGCTGATGAACACTGCGATGGAATGTGGTTTTCCACCCAATGGACTAAGGTAATTTAGATTGTCTCTGGAGGCGATTTCCGCAATATTATTTATTATACCTATATTATTTATTTATTGCAACAACACGTATTTTCCACATTTTTACTATATTATTTATATTATACTTAAATTATTTATTTATTGCAAGAACACGCATTTTCCACATTCTCATATACCCACATTTCCAACATTGGTAATATTGGTTAAATATTGGAACATTTCATCGCAACTCGCCATTATTTATCCGCCATTATTTATCCGCCATTCATCATATCAAATATTTAAACAGATGTTTTGGTAAATTTTAGTGTTCTGCACGTTGTGGTAAAGGTGTTCGTACACGAAAAGTTTTCTGTGGTGAGTTTGTTGACGATTTGATTAAAAAAATCGATGAATCAAGATGTCAACCTGAAGACAAAATGTCAGAGGAAGAAGAATGCATTACTGAACCATCCGTTTGTGGCGCTGAGTGGTTTACTGGACCATGGTCGGAGGTTAGAATAACAATAATTTAAACCTTGTTATTTATATCTATACGAATTTTTGTAGCTTATATATCCGAATTGAATAGCATTGAACAGATAATGTGAAATCTACACTTTTAGTGTTCTGAACCTTGTGGTGGAGGAGTACGAACAAGAAAAGTACTGTGCATGGAAAATGAACAAGTTGTTCCTTCTTCAAATTGTGATTTGGATCTTATCGAATTTTCATCGGAAGAATGCGGCAATGAAACATGCACTACTGGTAATTATTAGATTTAAATTATCTTTGTGCTACAATTATCGCTACAATTATCGAATATATATAAATTGATTTATTAATGCAGTCATTCACCATTTCATTAATTACTATTAATAAATTTTTATTTAAAGATTCAGTGATTCATGTGGGCTCTCACTCGCCTTTAACATTATCAGAGACTGAAGAATCATCAGAAAGCTCTATGTCAATAACATCTGTTAGTCCTGAAGAGTATGAAGATGAAGATGAAGATGATTTAGAGTGGTGTGAAGAAGATGAAGACGAAGACGAGGAAGGAGCAGATGAGAGCACTGAAGATTTGGGTGCTTTGGGACTAGTCTCATTTGATTTATCAACAGCCGAAATGGTAAGTAACTTGTTTTTAAAATACATATATAAATATAAATAAATTTATAAATATAATTTGAGATTTTGTCCACTTTTTGCAAAAACGTCTAAACCAATTTTGAACATTCAAAATCCAATTGAAATAAGATATGAACTTTCCCTAAGACAAAATATTACTTACATCTAATTTGTATATGTATGTAGTTTATAAAAAGGAATTTAACCAATTAATACTTATGTAGGTATCTGAGTCTACGTTGTTCTCTGAAGATTTAATGTTGAGTGATAGCACAAGTAGCGACGCGGGTGTGTCGGATGCGACTGAAGTATCTTGTAAGTAATGCATTTATATATACATGGGTACTAATTATTGGAAATTTTAAATTCATTGAACAATTATTTCGATATTATATGATTGAATTTTATTTTTCACATTTGTTTATTTTTTATTCTCCATATTTTGTATTTTACACTGCACTTTTGAATGCTCTTTTTTTCTTTATGCAATTTTTTTATATTGCTTGCTTTTGCAATGATAATGCCGACATTACATTTTCTTTACTTATAATTTAATGTATATCAGCTCAATAGTAAACAAATATATTTTTTAAAGTATCAACAGAGGGGTCTGGTGCTTCGACACTAGATGAAGGATCTGGTGACACGTCTGATTTTACTTCATCAGATATTTCCACGTAAGTATTGTAATATAATCATTATTTAGCATTCAATAGGTAATTTATAATTTATATTTAATAAAATGCGGTTTAATTGTATTACATTTTGCCCCATCTCTTTGCTGTAACATATTGTTGTGTTATAGAACGGAAAAATCGTCAGAAATGAGTTCAGAAATATCTTTGGCGACTAGTTCATTATCAAGTTCTGAATCTACACTTTCTTCAGAATTTACTTCTGGTGCAGAAAGCACCAGCGGCTCCATTAGTACTTCAGAAGGTTCAACTATTTCTGCAACTAGTGATCACTCAGAATTTAGCACGGAAAGCACTTCACTTTCATCAATTGCCTCAGACGTAACTTCCGAAATTGCTACTGCTGTAAGTGCAGATATGACATCAGATTATGTTTCTACTGAAGTATTTACCGGTTCAACTGACGTTTCAAGTGCTGAATCTAGTTCTGAGACCATTACTGAATCAAATACTGAATTAGTTTCGGAAACAAGCACAGAATCAGTTTCGGAATCTAGTTCTGTATCAAGTACTGAATCAAGTACTTCAGAAAGCTTAGACTCAAGCAGTAGCCTTTCTAGTGAATCTTTGGAAACTACAGGTTACTAATCTCATTTTAAAGCGTGGCATAAATATTATTAATATAAATTGTTTTTTTTTTTAAATTTTCTTTGATTTTATAGATTCATCAAGCACTATGTCATCAACATCAGATGAGTCAACTATTTCTAGTCAAATGACAAGTGACAGTACATCAGATCTAGTATCTAGTTCGAGTGATACTACAACGAACGCAGCATCGTATTCTAGTGAAGCTTCATCGGATGGAATAACTGAAACTAGTGATTCAACAACGGCAAGCGAAACTTCAAGCCAAACCAGTTATATGTCCACTGTGTCTGACAATCTAGGTTCACAGCCACCAGAAGTTAATGGTGAAGTTGATACCGCCGAATTTTCTATAACTACGCTGTCAGAATCTTCAGGTAATGACAAAAAGAGCACTTGTATCTGTATTTATATTTGTTTTTCTCAATAACATCTCAAGACAAGAAAAATCATCATTACAACTTATATATATGTATTATTATATGTTATTTAAAATATGTTGATCATTATTTTTGATGTTCGAACATATAGTTGTAAAATAATGAGATTTTGATCATGCTAGTTATTCCTATATGGTATTAATTATCAGAAATATAGTTTTGAGTAATTTGAGAAAGAATGAAGCAGGGTTTTCTAGTTTATATCTTGTAATATATAAAACAATATTCTTATTATTATAGAATACTCAACATCAACGAGCAGTGAGGAATTGTCGAAGAGTACGACTGTAGATATGTCTACACTAAGTTCTGAAGCAAGCACCGTGGAGTCTTCAAGTACAACCGACAGTTCCGATGCAACTACCGAAGCAACAGTATTATCTACCGATGTTTCTACCGAAGAAACACCAACTTCCGATAGCACAAAAATGTCAGAAGCCAGTGAAGCCACATCAGATGCCACCGACATTACTTCAGAATCTACTGAGATTACTTCAGAGACCTCTGAGTTTACTTCAGAAGCTTCTGAGGTTACTTCAGAGGTCTCTGAGATTACTTCAGAGTTCACTGAGTTCACTTCGGAAACTTCAGTTTCTGTGACAGATTCTTCAGAGTCAACAATAAGTTCTGATATCACAGATGAGATGTCAGAAACAAATATTTGGTCAACTACGGAAGAAACGTCAGGTAAGACAAAACTCATTTTTATGTTTTTACAAAATTTAAATATAATAATTCAATTAAAGAATTATAAAAGAAAATGGTCATCATAAAAATATATAAGTTTAAGTATTATCGCTAATAAATAAAACTATAGAAATTTTGTCTTAACTCAAGTTCCATGTACTTTCCGATACGTGTAAACAATCGACTTCATTAGTAAGAATTTAGAAAATTTAAACGAAATTTCGAAACGGCTTGTTATTCAAAACTTTATTAAATTTATATAAGTACATTTATTTACCTTTTATTATCATGTAAAATTCTGCAAAATCATAAAAGAAATTGTATCTTTTGAATAGATTTTTCATACCTTGTTGCGCTTGATAAAGAAAACACATTTTATCGCGGATTAAGATGTGCAATTGAAAGTTCCTGCAATAGCTATTTTAATTGTTTTAGAAAAATCGGATACAACGCCAAATATAATGTTAGACATAATAACTAAAAAATCAAGAAAATTGAAAAAATGTAAACCAAGGCCAAAGAAAAAGCCAAAATGTGTGACATCAAAATATGGTTGCTGTCCAGATAATAAAACTGCCGCAACAGGGCCATTTGATGAAGGTAATATATATATATTTTTTTCTAATGATATGAGAAATAGATTTCAAATAAATTTATGCGCAGGTTGTATTATTCCTAAGACATGCTTGGAAACCGAGTTTGGTTGTTGTCCAGATGGCATATCAACAGCCAAAAGTAAATCAAAGAAAGGATGCCCCAAAATTATATGTAAAGAGTCACTATATGGCTGTTGCCAAGATAATAAAACAGCTGCCCAAGGCAACGATCAGGAGGGCTGTCCCATACCCACTACCGCAGCTCCCGGTTGCAAAGAATCAGAGTAAGTCATCTAATAATTATAATATAATTAAATAATTATTTTTATTGTTTAATATATATATATATATATATATATATATATATATATATTTATATATAATTTATATAAGGATATAAGTTTTTCAGTGCTTTTCTTATTATAATTGCAGTTGTTTGTTTTAACATTTTTCTTGTTTGCTGCATTTACAGGTTTGGATGTTGCTCAGACGAAATATCTTTTGCCAAAGGTCCAAATATGGCCGGATGTACTTGCGAAGACTGCACAACAGAATCAACACCAGGTTATTATCTTATTATATAACTATATTTATATATAAACATTTTATATTAAAGTTGAATAAAATTTTAGTTCCTCAAGAGGATTGTCAAAACTCTGAATTCGGTTGCTGTGACGACAATGTTTCATTTGGTAAGCTATTATGTTTCTTTGATAAGATTATTTTAATTTTATGTTATTTTTTATTTTTTTTTGTAGATATTATTTAACTTAATAACAAGCTTGACTTATCTTTATAGGATGATTGTTCATGAGATATATTAATTTAAATTTTAAATTATCATGTTGAAAATTATCACATTAAAATTACACTTATCGATTTAGAGATTAGCTTTAAATTGAATAGAAATTTATATGGATACATATTTATTAACATATTCATTCCTAGCTACTGGACCACAAAAAGAAGGTTGTCTATCAAAATGCCAAAGATCTATATTTGGATGTTGCCGGGACGGTAAAACGCCTGCTCATGGTCCAAATGAAGAAGGTTGCTGTCTGGGAAGTCCTTATGGCTGTTGTCAAGACAACATTCAACCAGCCCGTGGTATCAATTATGAAGGTATGTGTGAATGTATGTATTGTATATGTGATTAAACAAAAAATTTGAATACTGTATGAAAACGAATGAGACAGAATTCATTATTTAGGGACAGAAAAAATGTCTTCAAGTTCATACAGAGATAATGAAATAAATTAATATTTCTAGGATGTGACTGCCAATATTCCCGTTATGGATGTTGTCATGATAATACGACGTCTGCTAGAGGACCTGACCAGGAGGGATGTGACTGTCATTATACAACATATGGTTGCTGCCCTGATGGAATAGCGCCTGCTCGAGGACCAGACTACTTTGGTTGTACCTGTTCCTCATACCAATTTGGTTGTTGCCCTGATGGTATTACAATAGCCAGAGGACCACACAAACAAGGTTGTAAAAGTAAAATGCGAATAATCAATTGCAACTAAAATTAAAGCTGGAGGCAACTTACTAAATAGTCTTAGCGTTTGATTTAAAATTACATCAACTATTAAGATCATGATTTAATAAATAGCTTTAATAACATAATTTATCGCGGTCAATATTTTCTAAAAATGTTTGCTAATAACACATTCAAAGTTTATGAGAATCTGTAGACCACTTTTGAGCATTACGATTTTGCATTGTTTATAATGCATAGCAGCAAGCTGTCCAGGCAATAGGAGTTTTATAATTATTTTTTAGTGAAATATTACAAATAAATAAAAGTATGAAAATATTATAAATAACCAACTATAATATTAAAATAGGGTGCGGATGTGCGGAAAGTAAATTTGGTTGTTGCACTGACGGAGTTAACCCTGCCACAGGACCGAACGGCGAGGGATGCGATTGTTCAAAGAGCGAACATGGATGCTGTCTCGATGGTACAACTGAAGCAGGTGGTGATAAATTTGAAGGTTGCACTGACAAACCTAAATATCCACAAGGTATTTGAATCTGTAAATTAATGTAGAGGATAATTATATACATATATGTACTTACAAAAACCTTTTTAACTTCCCGTAGGGTAAGTTATAGTAATCGCAAAAAAATCGAAAATGAAAATTTTTGCATTTCTCGACGTTTCAAAGGTTTCTGAATATTTTGGCATATCTTAGAAAAAATGGATGTATGTGTGTGTGTGTGTGTGTGTGCGTAGTATGTATGTGTGTGCGGATACAAATTTTCGTCGACGATTTCGGGAACACGGATGAAGCAATTTGAATAATTTAAAAAACATTCGATTCGTATTGATAAGGAGACGTGCTGATTAGTTTTTGGCGGAGGTAGGTCTAGCCGTTCCGAAGATATGGGGCAAAAAGTGACAAAAACGGTACCTCAGTTTTTAATAGAACGGAGCGTCCGATTTTAATAATTCAAAAAACATTTTACTTGTATTGACAAGATGAAGATTTGATCAAATTTTTATAAGGGCAGGGGTAGCGGTTTCGGAGATATAACGAAAAAAGTAAAAAAAATGCCATTTGGCGGTCAAAAATGATCATTAGACATATGCACATCAAATTATCAGATATTTTATAGAGATTTTAACAATAATTATAAATTTTGTTTACATTCCTATGGGTTCCGTACCAATGTTTACTTGTTAGACAGCGACGCGGCGCTTACGCGCTTTATATTTTGTCTCTATGCATTTAAAGCAGTACGATTGCTTTGAAAAAAAGTTCAGATCTTCCAACATATGTCAAATTAAAGAAAACATTTTTTTTTCAATTTTTTTTTTCAAAAAAAATCTTATTTTTTCGAAGTAATTTTTTTTTTTCAAAAATGTTAATTGTTTTTAAAAAAAATAATAATTTTTGGTACGGGAAGTTCCAGCAATTTGCCTTAAGGCACGATGCCCTAATTGCCTTAAGACAGAATTCCACTTACAGCTAGTTAGGGTTTATATGTTCGATAAAATAGCATAATCATTTTTTTTGTGTACATGCAATCCCAAAAAGAAAAAAAAATACTTTAATCAATTTACGAAGAAGTGAAATTTACAAAATATTTATATGTATATATTTAATTGAAATACTTTCTTTTCTAGAATACTGTGCACTGGATAAAGAAAGGGGAACATGTCGTAATTACACCGTTCGCTGGTTCTTTGATACCGCATACGGTGGGTGCAGTCGCTTCTGGTATGGAGGCTGTGATGGAAACAATAATAGATTCAATTCACAAGAAGAATGCAAAGATATATGCGTTGATGTCCAAGGCAAAGGTAAATATTGATTGCAATTAATTAATTTGATTTAATTAATTAACATGGTTCTAGGACTACTAATAATAGCTAAGTAACTACTACTAATAATTTCTCCGACATATTTTTGATTTCTACACATACTGTTTTTAATTTCGGTATCAAACGATTTAGAATAATTGGAATATTAAGAACCAGCGAACAACATTTGAGACGGATTTTCTGGCGTAATATTATTATATATTTTAGCATATTTTTATATTATATTTATTATAATTTCAGATCGTTGTCGGCTGCCAAAGATAACTGGTCCATGCGATGCATATTATCCAATGTGGTATTATGATAATGAAAGGAAGCAATGTGGACAGTTTATATATGGAGGATGCCTAGGAAACAATAATAAATTCGAAACGAGGGAAGAATGCGAAGGATTGTGTGTCAGTCACCAAACATTGGGTAAGAAGCAAAAGTACCTAATTTAAAACTGTTTGTATTATTAACCCACTTTGTAAGGGACAGGTGTTTTGGTACCCGAGTTTTATCTATTATTATGCACTTTATTTGGTTTTAACGAATAGGTCTATTCGCTATTTTGAACTATTTTTTGATGAATGAAAAGACAATTTTTTGGGACTATCTATACGAGCGCCCAGAACTGTTTACATATTTTCAGATTATTATAGCTTGTTGTAATCCTTTTGCTCTACCCTGCTCTTAGACGTCACCTAAATATGCATAATCCACATAAAATATTGAGGGCCAACTATCGATCTTATTTTCTGGGTTTTCTCATCATTTGATTTTTTTTTCACAAAGGTTTTAATTGTTTCACTAAACTGCTAAAGTAATATTAAATGGTTGCATGCTGCATATATTAAATTTTTATTAACCTGTTATTTGTTTGCAGATACATGCGAGCAGGAAATGGATGAGGGTCCTTGTAGAGGATCATTTGAGCGGTGGTATTACGATAAAAATTCAAAGAGTTGCCAAAGATTTCGATTTGGTGGGTGCAAAGGAAATAGCAACAATTTTATTAGTGAATCTGCATGTCAACAGAAATGTGCAACAAAAGAAGCCCTTCAAGGTATCAGAAAGAACATATGTATACTAATTAGAAATTTTAGTAATACCTACTCATTTTCTTTTTGATAAGTCATATATGATTTCCTTCTTTAGGAACCATTGAGAAAAAAGTCTTTTACTTCAAAAATTTAACAATGACAATTAATAATACCTGTCCAGAAAAACATATGGTTTTTATGTGTATGTATGTAAATATAAATACATATTTTTGTCGCCTTTAGCTTACTGTTACTTGCCAAGAGAACAAGGCACTTGTGAAGAACAAGAATCTCGTTGGTTTTATGACACCAATCAGAAGAGATGTGTACCATTCTACTATAGTGGTTGTGGCGCCAATGAGAACAATTTTGCTACACGCGATGATTGCGAACATTACTGTCCTTCTGTAAAGGGTATGTAAGGTTTTTTAGAATTCTGCACAAATCATATAATAGATCACAAACTTAAACAATGTGCCTGTTTTCTTTAGTATAATATGTTATGCTAAATTAAATGCATTAATTACAGCCCGCGATGTTTGCACATTACCAAGTCTTGTAGGAGAATGTCATAATTATACTCAACGTTGGTATTATGACACTCTAGCCAAACATTGCAGAGGTTTTTACTATGGAGGATGTGGTGGCAATGGAAATAATTTCTTAGACGAATTGTCATGTCTGCAAAGGTGTTCTGACAGGATGCCCGAAGAACCTCGCCATGTACCAGAACCAAGGGAGCCCGACGAAAATATCGACAGGCAACGTGAAAGGGAGGAAAGAGAAAGAGAAAGAGAAAGGGAAAGGGAAAGAGAAAGGGAAAGGGAAAGAGAAAGAGAAAGGGAAAGGGAAAATACTCGGCCAGTATATTCCAGAGGTAATTATAATAGTCTATTTTATTATATTTGTTACAAAAATCCATATTAAAACATTTATATAAGTACTTTCCTTTATTTTAATAAATACTTTTGCATAATTGCGATTGCAGAATGTATAATAATTTAAATTCCTCAAAAATACAGAAAGGATGTATTTTATTTTGTATGGGATTGCCAACTCGCACACAAAATTAGATAGTAATTAAGAAAATATACTCAGATTAAGTGCTACATTCCATGAGGCATATGCATACATCATTCTATTCTATCTTTATTAAAAATATTCTAGATTATTTACTTTTTTGTGCAATTATTATTCATCTAGTACTTAATATAGCCTAATCATAATCCTCCCATTTCCAATTTACATAATTCTTAATGATAAGAACAAGCTACAATGAAATGTACTAGCTGTCGACCACGGCATATAGCGGGATGTCTTGAATAAGACATTACAGTTGGAATTCATGTCCATTTGTTAATTATCATTTCATAACAATTAATTTTTTTTTTGTAGATTCATGTAATTTGCCTGCCGAGCAAGGTCCGTGCGATTCATATGTAGTGCAGTGGTATTATGACGCGAGATCTGGCACCTGCAACAAGTTCCACTACGGAGGATGTCAGGGAAACCAGAATCGTTTTAACACATTACGTGAATGCATGCATTACTGCCACAGGGGACCTGATCCAAATGCTATTCACTATGCAACAGTGGTATTTATTAATTATTTGATTATTTCAATTGTATCTAATAATAACTATAATTGAATATCAAATATGAGAGATTGCAAAAAAATAATCTCGAATTTTAAATATTTTATATTGTGAATATATAACCCACATAAAATAGATAAAGCAATGATATTTTACTAACAAAATATTATTATACTTATTAATATTAAATTACTGCTATTATTATTGTTTACTTTTATCTAACTATGTGCAAACTGGAATGCATACAGACATCTTTTACATTCGAAATAAAAATTGAATAGTACTTTTTATATATTGTATATTAATGTTTACTACCATTGGATTGGGTTTTACATTAATTTTCTGGGTGGTAGGCGCCACTGTCTCGAGACAACACATCAGCAGATGCCTGTTCATATCCTGTTTCCTCTGGACCATGTTCATTCCACATACCATCTTGGTATTTCAACAATGAAACACAGCGATGCGAAGCATTTGTCTATGGAGGGTGCGAGGGCAATCCAAACAGATTTGAAAGTGAAGAGCTCTGTGAAAGTCATTGTGTTAGACGACCTGAAGGTAACTGTTATTTCTTTTATTATATGTTATGTCACACACGCTGAAAATTTAACTTTATTGGTTTGAGAATAGTGATACAATGTACTAATTCTTTGGCTTCATAAAATATAATTTGAGGCGAATTTATTGTCTATTTGTTGAATATGTTTAACGATATTTCATTACTACGGTTTGACCTGTATTTTTAAGAAGATTTAATGATTGCTAATTTGTTTTTTTCATTTAGAGAATATTATTAACAATTGCATCAATGACGATCGATCGTGTGAAGAATTACGTTGTCCTTACGGAATTCATAAATCTGTGGATAAAAATAATTGTGTTCAATGCTCATGCTTTGATCCTTGTTCTGATATCCGCTGTCACGAAGGAAGTTCATGCGGAATAGACTTGCAACGAGATGAAGTTTCCGGTAGAACAGTTTTCATTGGAGAATGTCGGCTCGGTAAGTTTCGTTCCATAGGCTATGTCTTTATTAAAATAAAAATATTTTTATTTAGAATAAATGTAGAAGAATAAATCTATTTTAATAATTATTTCATTAGAAAACAAACCAGGATCTTGTCCAGTCAGTTTTGTTGCTGGACATGAGGAAGATAGATGTTCTCGAGAATGCCATACAGACGCTCAATGTCGGGGTCCAGCAAAATGCTGTCAAAATGGATGTAGTATCATATGTACTATGCCTAGTAAATTAAGCAATCTTACTGAATTATTAACTACAGTTGCACCTAACATTACTGGTATGTATAAATTCCACTCTTCTTATTAATAATTGCTGAATAATTATGCATTATATTTAAAAGAATTTTAATGACTTATTTTTGCAGACGTTTTAATACAGATAATGTTATATCTATCCAGACCCAACTTTATTTCTAATTCATAACAATTTACAATTTGAATTTTTCAAAAATTCAAGTAACTTTGTGGCATTCAAGAGTTCTAATTTCCTAATGAATTCTTTGGTTCTCGAGTCTAAAATGATCAAATTAGAATGGTAATATTGAATATTGATTATTTAGTTACTGTTTTATTTATTTATTAGATAATACACCACCACGATTGTTTGTGCCTTCCACCCGAGTTGACGCTGAACAGGGTAGTGTTGCTGAACTGCATTGTAGTGTAATTTCTGGAAAACCAACTCCAACTGTGTCATGGTTGAAGAAAAATAAAGTTGTAAGAATCTTATATATATATATTATATATATATATGTATATATATACATATATATTGACAAAGATACACCTTTATTATGCTTTTATTTTGGCTTGTTATTCTAATGTATGCTAGTTTACATTTAATTTAGTCAAGACGAAAATTGAGTCGATCAGTGTTCAATTCAGACTTTGCTTATATGAAAATTGAACTCAATGTTGTAGTGAAACAAAAGAATTTCAACTTTGTATCTTCATTCTAGGTGGATGGAACAAAAGATAATTATCGATTGCTACCAGATAATACTTTGCAAATAGTTTCAGTGAGCGAAAAAGATAGTGGCCAATATACTGTAGTGCTGATAACGGCGTTGGACATCCAGTCTCTGAAAATATAGAATTACGGATATTAGGTATAATATTTGTCATTGGTAATTTAATGTCATCAAAATTAAAGTAAAAGTAATTCATTTGATTAACATTAATATTTGAATGGTTGTGAAGATTGCATGTTTTTTTTTGTATCATAATATAGATCCAGTAAAAACTACAGTAGGTAAATGTAACAAGTTTTTGCATGTTGTATTGGTTTTGAGAATATTAATTTAGTTTAATATTGATTTGGAAATTTGTGAATAGAGTAGTATATATGAGAAAAACAATACGAGCATCAAGGATTGAAATATGAATAATTTGGTAATAATAAGTAAAGCTTAAGACAAATAAGAGTATGAATTATTGTATTTGTGTACATCGTATTACTCATATGGAATCTATCAATAGTACAGAATTGTAGCGATGCGTGATATGTAGTAGAAGAGCCAGTGAACTATTTGACTAACCTGTTTTCACAAAGCCAGAAATTTTTTTAATGATATTTTATTATCGGCCCATTAAGAAAGTACCATTCTGGCAGTCATTCCGTGGTTGCGTCATCATCCCTTCAATTTGTGAAAATGTGAAAAAAATTTTTTTTATAACTTGCTCGCACAAGGCTCAAATTTTGAGGGTGTCTTCTTTTAACTGTTCAGAAAGCATATGTAAAAAGCCAGCCCATTCTGGCGGTTGCAAGGGTCTGCCAGACGAGTACATAATAGTTACGACGCGCAAGGGTGTGGGCGCATTGCCATACATAATTGACTAATACCCATGTATTTGAATAATTTATACGCCATTTTGAAGGTCATTTTGAAAACATCCGTTATACCAAACTTCAACTTTGTATCTCACCTTATGGCCGAGATATCATTGAAAATATGCCAAAGTGGCCCCTTTTTCAAACTCAATTTTTGGCGTAACCATAAAAGATATCGAAAAAAAAATTATGGTTTATTAGCGTTGTCCGGGTTGTACTGGTTCTGGTTTCTTCAATTTTTCAATGTGTTCCACAAATTTTATTTAACCATATTGCAGTACTAAAAGAGAAAACAATAAGCTTTTAAATAACGCTAATAATAAAGTAATTAACAAAACGCACTATCCGAAAACATGAATTGAAAAAATATTTATCCTTTTTAGCTAATAATAAAGGATTATTTAGCATATATATATACATTATGTGGTTTAAGCCAATATGAGTAATCACGTAATTTTTTTTTCGATATCTTTTATTGTTACGCCAAAAATGGAGTTGAAAAAGGGGCCACTTTGGCATATTTTCAATGATATCTCGGCCATAAGGTGAGATACAAAGTTGAAGTTTGGTATAACGGATGTTTTCAAAATGACCTTCAAAATGGCGTATAAATTATTCAAATACAAGGGTATTAGTCAATTATGTATGGCAATGCGCCCACACCCTTGCGCGTCGTGACTATTATGTACTCGTCTGGCAGACCCTTGCAACCGCCAGAATGGGCTGGATTTTTACATATGCTTTCTGAACAGTTAAAAGAAGACACCCTCAAAATTTGAGCCTTGCGCGAACAAGTTATAATTTTTTTTTTTTTTACATTTTCACAAATTGAAGGGATGATGACGCAACCGCGGAATGACTGCCAGAATGGTAGTTTCTTAATGGGCCGATAATAAAATATCATTAAAAAAAATTCTGGCTTTGTGAAAACAGGTTAGTCAAATAGTTCACTGGCTCTTAGACTAATGGTTCCGTTGCTTACACGATATTTGTGATATGATAATGTATGATAATTTGATGTTACATTACGTAGAGCCCACGCCTCACGCATCGGGCATAGTGGGCGACGATAACGCCACGGCCTTGGCCACTCTCGGTTCGCCGCTGACGTTGCGTTGCCTTTATTACGGATGGCCGACGCCTCATGTTAGTTGGTGGCGCGGCAAGACTGTCCTACCGACATCGGGCACTATTTATGAAGAAACAGGACGGGTCATCCGAATTGCAAGAGTCACCATCCAGCAGTTGGGCATTCTATACTTGCCAAACGTATAATTTCCTAGGAAAACCATCATCTTGGTCTATAGCGGTTATGACATTAGGACCAGTGCCAGGACCAGTAAGTGATGAATACAGTAAATTTATAGTTGACGATAGTAACCTATGATGGACAGAGATCAAGGCCACTTACAATGATTCTTCTTCATATGTTGACACTCGAGGATATATTAGTTTTATTTATGTTATAGAGTATTATCTTATAAAAGTTAAAATATTTTTAGGTTTACTGCATGCATATGTTTTAATTAAAAGTAATACAATGCACGACTTGCACGCTTTGCGTCGAGTATGTATTTTTTTCGTGGTTTGTATCTTATGTTGTTGATTTGTTAACTTACACCAGAATAATTCAAGTGCTATTATTTAAATTACATTTATATATATATATATATATATATATATATATATATATATACATGTATGTATTTATAACGTAATGTAGGAAATTTATAGCGTATATCAAGTTTTTAATTTGTATTACACCAATTTGCACTTGGGTCAAATTTAAATTTATATGTTAAATTATATAATTTAAGCCATATTCTTAATATAGTACCAATGATTTTGATTTGTTGTCGATTGTTTTATCATCAGTTTAATTAATAAACAAAACAAGAAACAAACGTCCAAGCTAAAAATGAAAGTAATAATTTATCAATTAAACTAACAGTTTCATGCAACATTTTTTAAATTTCCTTAGAAAAGTTTATGGTACTGCTAATTTTGCAATAATTTTTCACGAAATTACTTCTCTTGAATGAGAAACGATCCTATATTATGACATCATGCGTCTTGAACAAAATCGCCCTAATTACAGTCCCTGTTCAAGAGCATTTTTTTATTCAATTTATCTTTTTTTGACAGAATCATTAAACGTACGATTATTTGGGCCTGATTCAAATGTAAATTCACATGATGATTTTCAATTACGTTGTGATGTAACTGGTTCACCAACGCCTGTAATCACTTGGTATAAAGATGGCAAGCCAATTCAGATGGAAAACACAGGACACGTTTTATATGGTAAGAATTTATCTGTAACAGAAATAATGTAAATAAATATATGAAATTACTTTTGTGAAAAATGCAATTAAAATAGATTATTAGTTCAGCCTGAAATGATATTATACAATTATTAATAATTTATCATTTTGTGACAGATGAGTATAGTTTAAAAGTAGTAAATGCAACAACAAACGACTCCGGAACTTATCAATGTGTAGCCCAAAATCAATACTCAACTGCCCAGGATCAAGTAGATGTCACTGTTGCAGGTATTTTGACTGCATTTATGATACATTATTACAAAAGAAATAATATACGATGAAACTTATTCAATATTTATCTTTCTTAGGAATATATGTTCACCCGCAATGTCTTGATAGCCCGGCATTTGCAAGATGCCCATTGATATTGAGAGCTGGCTATTGTACTCACAAATATTATAGCAAATTTTGTTGTCGATCTTGTACTCTCGCTGGTCAATTACCACCAAATGCCCTACATGCCAGAACAGTTTGAATAAATGATAATATTGGTTTCAATTAATATTAAATAATGCTCCCATTCAAAAACATATTTAATTGATTCATAATTAAAATCATCTGTTGTTTTGGTTGTACATGAAAATAAACTTATGTTTAATTAATTAGTTGTTACTTATTTCAAATACCACAAGTATTTCGAAAGTTTTCAATACTAGAAAAAATTAATTGATATCTTTACGTTTCAAAGCCCTGTGAACATTTTGGCTTACCATAGAGAGAATAGATATGTGTGTTTGTGTGTATATATATGCAGGGCGGTCTGGGATCCTCAGCGCCCCGCAAAATTTGTTCTTCAAAAAACATTCGATTCCTATTGATAGGGAGATGAGCTGATTAGTTTTTGGCAAAGGCAGGTCCAGAAGTTACGGAGATAAAGAGCAAAGAGTGCAGAAAATAGAAATCGAGTTTTTGAGAGAACGGAGCATCCGATTTGATAATTGTAATAAGTACCGTTGATAATAATCTTTAATAAGTACCGTTTCAAATAAATCAGCTCGCAATTTTTCATCAATAACGCCCAATAATTAATTTCGTAGGTTTGCGTTTAGGGTTTCGATTTCACGCTGAATATTCAGCGTGAAATCGAAAAAAAAATATCTAGTGTTCATGCTTTGTGTGTCTCCGTATCCATAGTTAAGTTAGATTGTTTATTATAAACAATTTAAAAAAGTTATAAAAAAAAAATATTATAAATTTCTTTTCCGAATCTCGTTTTGGCGCCCCCTAAGGCGTGCGCCCGCATTTTTTGCATGCAAGGCAGGACCGGGCCTGTATACATGTATGTGCGGATACAATTTTTAGTCGACGATTTCAAGAGCACGGTTCAACTAATTTGCGTAATTCAAAAAACATTCGATGTTTATTGATGGGGCGACATGCTGATTATCTAGTAAGTATCTTAGTTAGTTTATTATACCTACAGTGGTGACGCCACAATGGATATTTACATGTGTCGATAATAATATAGTCGCCATCTCGGGTTTGCAATAGGTCAACCGAATTATTCCGTTC